GGGGGGGGGGGGCTTGGGGGCAGCAAAACATATAGGTATTTAGAATTTGCTTTGTTATGATGATAGAGACACTGGTAGGCTTCCAAATTGCTTTAGTGCTGTAGATATATCAATAAAACATTGCCCACCTGATCACACTCTCTCTGTCTCACTCTTTCTCTCTCTATATATAGCGGTCTTTTGTTTTACTTGTGAAGGAACATGGATTTTGGGGTATTTACAGAGTGACTTTGGGATTTTTTTATCAGGGATTTTTCAGTTTTCCAATATGGAACATCAGAATTCCTGCTAGGGAGGCCAGTGACAGGGCCCTGCCTGCTCAGAGATGGCACCTTGGACCCAGCTGAAGGTGGCTGACCTCCTGGCCAACTGCGACCAGGAGGACATGCTTTGACAGTTCAAAGCAGGCCACCACACTGGGAACATCTTCTGGGTGATAGCTGCCCAGATGGCTGGGCAGGGGCACACATGGCAGTAGTGCTGCAAAAGGTCAACTTTGCAGTCACAGTCCACTGCTAGCTGGCCCAGAGGGGCAGATGCCTCTATTGGCTGTGCAGCCCCCATCCAGATCTGGCAGGTGTGCAGCAGGTCACAGCCAGGCAGCAGCCTCCACTGCCAGACTGCTGCAGTGGGTAAAGGGTGCAGGGAACTCTCTAGGCTGCTTCAGCAGTCCAGCTGGCACAAGAGGTAGTGTCCCCAGGGACCAATTGGCTCGGCCCCAGAAACTCCTGAGAGCAAGTAGCCCTGAGCTACTTGCCAGAGCAGTTCTTTGTACTGCTGGGGCCAGGACAGGGCAGCTTTTTATACTGCTGGGGACAGCACAGGTGCTGGCCCCGGGCTCTAGCTCCCCCTGGCTGCAGATCCAAGAGGAGCCAGGCAGGGTTATTTTGCCCCAAGTGGAACAATTTGCCCCACAACAAAGTGCATGTCCAGGCACATTCACTGAGGTAAAAAGCCCCAGCTCAAATTTGCACCGTTTCTATTTGAGCTGCTGCAAGTGCACGTGCCTGCATGTGTGGACACACCCAGTAGTTAATTTTCCATCTTTGGCTGGAAAGGTAAAAGGCACTTACATCATTGCACATGGCCACCTTTTCCTTCATTCCTTTCTCATAATTTTTATTTTTTCCCACTGCAAAACATGTAAGAGTAAGACGTAGCCCAATCTTTCTCTTTCCTGGAACAAAAGCTACTCTTTGAAAATGATTCTGCTGGCTATTTAAAAGTTGTTTGCTAATACTATATAACAATTCCCTTGATAGGAAAACAGTTGGAGCCATGTGTTATTATGGAGAGGCAGAATTTTGCCGACTGATATCTGGTAATCCAACCCATTTGGAAACACTAGGAAGGATCTAACAAAAATGTTAACCTTCTAATGTCTCCAGCTCTGAATAGACTCTACCAAAAAAGGATGCATTGTGTGTGTGTGTGTGTGTGTGTCCCCAAATTAATTCTTAATTATGCCATCTTGTCTAATTTACATATTGAAAAAAATTCTGTACATTGAAGTATATATCTGACTTTGAATGGATATTTCTTGATAGGTCTATATTTTTCATATATTATATATCTTTCACGATCCAAGAAAAATACATATATATTTTATACACATACTTTATTATATAAGTAAAATATATTGCTTTAAAACAAAAACAAGCTTGTGTCCTAAATAAAATCTATTTTACATACATTGTAATCTTCAACAGTTTTAACTTCCTGAGAAAACTGTTGGGTACAAAATATCCAGATATTACAGGCCTGATAAGTTACATACTAAACATTCTTGTTCTTATTTCAGTTATTTTTGTGAAACATTTTTTTCAAGGTCAAAAAAAATCTCACTACTAACTCCAATTATACTTTAGAAAATTATATTATTACTACAAATTATATATGAATACACTAATTATTAGAAACTGGCCTACAAAATGTATGGTCACCTACATGAGAAATTTTACATGCAATTAACACCCAACTGCAAACACACATCTTCTAATTGAAGTTGCATGCATTTAAAATCAGTCGTACTATATTTACAAAATCAGGAGCATATTAGATGTGCAATTTCAAAGACAGGCCTAATTTGTTTTGAAATCTATACCTGAACCTATAAAAAGGTTGCTTTGTAAAACAGCCATCTGCCTGCTTTCCCAGCCCTGTCAATAGCTGCCCCATCCAGCCCCAGTGTCCCGGCTCTTTAAAAAAAGCCCTGCACTCACTGGCTACTGCAGCAGCTGTCAGGGCTTCTAGGGGCTCATGGCAGAGCCCACCTACACAACGCAGGGCAGTGGGGATTACCCTCCTGCCTGGCAGCAGCTGGTGAGTGCGGCGCTTTTTTTTTGCTTTTTTTTTTAAAGTGCTGGGACACTGGGGCCAGGTGGGGCAGGCATTGGCGGGGCTGGGAGAGTCAGCAGGGGATGAGGGTTCGTGGCACAGCCCCACCCGTGCAACGTGGGGCAGTAGGCAGCGGCGGGGATCACCCCCCCACACCTGGCAGAAGGCAGTGAGTGTGGGGCTTTTTATTTTTTATTTTTTTAAAGAGCCAGGATACTGGGGCTGGGCAGGGCAGCCACTGACAGGGCTAAGAGAACAGGCGGGGGATGGGGCCTGTTTGATTCAGAGATTCGTCAGTGGCCGAATCTCTGAATCAGATTCAGCCAAACTGATTTAGAACAGCAATTCAAATCACCAAATTGAATCACTGTCTCCTGAATCGGCCGAATCTGAAGCGAATACTAGCTGCTTCACATAGGCCTACTGATTAGACCCTGCACTAAAGAACAGTGCCAAACACTAGCAAGGTTAAGACTGGTTTGGAGTCAGCCTATGGTTACAGCATTTCCTGGAGAACCAGGGAAATTACAGGATGCCCTCTTAGGGTTGAGACAACTTTATTTAAACCTATGTTGCTGATGCCATAACACTTACCGATAAATCCAAGCTGGGAGAATTCAAGAATCATCCATTCAGAGGACTGTTTAAGAGCGAAGCTTTTTACTGACTTAATATAGTGTGGTTTGGCTATAATGTCATCTTCCAGCTGGAAAAAAATAAAGTGAAACTGATATTCTGACTGCTTACAGAGGTCGTAGTGGTCTTCCCATGTATAAATTATGTTTTTATCATGTTATTATTGTAAAGCAAGTAACTGGGGATGCACCATATGACCAGACATGCTGGTAATTTGGCTATGTGTCTATAGATAGCCCCATCTGAGAATCATTGATTAAATATTTGTATACAGAACTGCCTGTAATAGACTCGGCTAGGGATGGGCAAAATACAGCCTACAGACCAAACCCGACCTGCCAAAGGATTTTATTTGGCCTATGCTGGGGTCCTTGCCCCTGGTCAGGCCAGTCCAGGCACAGGGGAGGGGGGAGGAGTGGAGGGCTGTGGAGTGCGGTGATCCCACCACCCCCAAGAGTGCAGCATGGTGGCCACACTCCATTTCCCATCAGCCCCTGCGCTTCCAGACCTGGACCAACTATCTGGACACCCCAGCCCATCCACCCTGTACCTACCACTGAGGGCATCAGGGGCAAGGTCTCCATGGAAACTGACTAGAACCCCCACAGGCAGAGCACGCTCGGCTGGGCAGATGAGATGGGGCCATGGGTGGGCAGGAGGCAGGGTCTGGGAGCAGGACAGGCTGGCCAGGATCACAGGGTAGTGACAATGCAGGGCTGGGGCCCTGGGCAGAACTATGATCTACTCCCCATACATCCCTTTGATGTGGGGAGTGGATCATGACTCTGCCCCGAACCCTGGCCCCACACTATCACCCCTTCACAATCCCAGCCTCCACCCACCCATTCTGCTCCTGGATGCTGTTCCCTGCCCACTCGTGGCCCCTTCCCATCTGCCCAGCTGAGCGTGCTCTGCCTGCAGGGGTTCCAGTCGGCCTCCATTGAGACCCTGCCCACCCGCACCATTCAGCATCCCCAGTAGTGGGTGTGGGGCAGATGGGCCTGGGCCGGATTGTATCAACTGCCCCTGTCCCATCCCTGCTGTGCCAGGCCAGGTCAGCACCCACCTTCACCAGCCCACAGCTCACCCAAATTCCTAAAGTGGTCCTCCAGCCAAAATAATTGCCCATCCCTGGACTAGGCACTTTCCAGATACTCAAAAACTGGCTTGAATATCTGCCAGTTTAAGAACAAGCAAACAAGAAAAAAAAGAGGCAAAGGTAAAGGAAACAGTAATAGCCCACCGATATTTTAATCAGTGCTAGTCACTAAGCACCATGACAGAAATGGATCTTTACAGCAAACTTTGAATGTGGACCTGATGTGGTGGCAACCGTTAATCCTCTTGGATCATGGTGTATGCACCACGGCCACCCAGGCCATGGATGCATATGCCTGGGCAGGAATTTTTGGAGGAGCGGAGGCTACCCAGACCTTCCATCCTCTCTTTAGGTCACTGAGACAGAATCCAAAGACCAGACTGAGTCCAGATGTTTGGTGCCTCCATGGCTGTAGTTGTATAAGTGTCTGGTAATCAAACCCAGTTCTCCTGTGTGGTAGACAAGGATTCTACCACTGAACCACAGAGGACTCATGGACCTGATGTCTGGCTGGGGAGATGGGCCAAGGTAGGTTGTACCATACCTCCGTGGTAATGTGAGAAAGCAGGGAAGCAGTTACACAGAAAGCTAACAAATAGTCAGATACTCCAAGAAACATTAATGGTGCCAGGGAAGAAGCATTGTGAAGCTCAACAAAGGTCAGAAGAAAGTAGACCTTTGAAAGGTGCAATAAAGCTTAAATCTGATGAGGAGGCAAGGAAAGGTTTCAAAATAAGACTGGTAACATCACCTCAACAAGCATGGAGAAGACCCTCAGTTGCATTTTGCATAGTCTTGTGGAAACAAAAAGTGAATATTTGAGGCCAGAAGATGTTAGAGCTGTCAAGGCTAAAGAACAAGGGCCTAAGTAAGAGATCTGACCGAAGTGAAACAAATACATTGTGGATCGTAGAACTATTGAAGGGAAAGCAACAATTGTATGTGTGTGTGATTTGGACATATGGAACAAGGAATGGGGTTTCAAATGCCGTGGACTGGGGGAAATGATTGTTGTCAATAGTGAAAGAGAAAGCAAGGAGGTTTGCAAGGGAAGGGAAGGAATTCTGATTTGGCCATGTCATCAGCTTGACAGAGACAAAATGAGATGCAGGATTTGATTTAAGGAAATAATTATGCAATGGAAAAATAAATTTGCAAGGGACTGAAACCAAATGACCTAATGAGATTATCTAGAGGAGTAGCTTACCTGTGGCACGCATGCCACAAGTGGCACAGTGGCTGCCTATGTGTGCGGCAGCTTCTCTGACCAGGGAGGGGGCAGGGAGCACACAGTGGGAGATAGGGCAGGGAGCAGAAAGCAAAGCAGCAGATTGGGCAGCAGAAGAGGATTGGAGTGGCACTTGGAGAGGGCACAGGCTTAATTTGTGGCACACCTGCCAAAAAAGGCAGGATGTAAACAAAGAAGACCAAAGAGGCAAGGGGAAAGTGTTGATTAAATGAGAGAGTAAGTAAAAAGAAAAGCACCCAAAGGGACACTGAAGGAATGAGAAAACCAAGAAAATATGCTAAACTCAAAAGGAAGAAAGACCATAAAGTGTCACAAAACAGCATAAAAGACAAGGATATATAGGAAGCCCTGTGATTTACCCTGCTATTAAAAGCCTGTTTGTGCAGTGTAAAGAAAGTAGGCCAAGAGGAATTCTAGATCCATAGCACTGAAAGCCAGAAGGACCACCACTCTAATATGAGGCCACTTTGGTTCATGACCCATTAAGTTTTGTCCAGTTTGCTCTGTATTGAGTCCAACAACTTACGTTCAGCTGAAGCATATTTTCTAAAATGGCATCCAGTTTTAATCTGAAGACAAATTTGCTAGTTTGTTCCAGTGGAAAATCCCCTTTACTGCTAAGGAAAATTGTGTCCATTTTCTAATTTGAATTCACCCAACTTCAGCTTTCAGTCCTGGAATATTTTTATCTTACTTGAAGAAACTAAGCCAGTGCAATAGTTATACTGTGCCTGCTCAAGAAACTTGGAGGTGAAGGCAAAGAGGAGGGCCTCAAATTGCATAATCCAGTTGCTAGGGTTGCCTTCTGGGAAACTAAGCAGCACATGGATACATGCATATTCTCCTTTATTCATTAGCCCATTCACAAGAGTGAGGGAACATAGATTATACAAATGGCAAAACAGAAAATGTGCCTTCAGAATGTGATTTTTTGGTAAATCAAAAAAAAAAAGGGTAAAAAAACCAAATTGAAAATGGATGTTGTTCAGATTTCAGTTAGGAAAGTAGTTCACTTTTTCACACTTGTTTTAAAATATTTCAATATATTTATCATATTTAAAACAATGCAAACGTACTATTTGACCCTCAAGATGTCCAGCTGCAACATACTCCACAGGATACTTTTTTATTTTAATGTGTATGAAAAATAAGTTGCACATTTAGAAACACATAGCTAGTGACACATTTTCAGAGACCCTCCAAATTAAGGGTTTGACCAAAGCCTACCAAAATCAACTAAAAGACTTTTTTTATGGGCTTTTGGTCAGGTCCAAAGAGCATTAGAAAAGTTAAAATCCTAGTTCATACATAAGCATATAGTGACACTGTAGTAAAAATATAATTGGGAATTAAAATACAAACTGCATTTTCTTCTCTAAAGAACTATGTATAGATACATTTTAATGTGTTTCCTGTTATCACTGAACAGCCTTAATATATAGTTGTCTTCCAAATGATCTCAGTTGTATGAGGTTTACTAATTAGTCTACTCAAGATCTCCTTCAGTTAAATGGACTGAGGTTCAGATTATTCCTACTGGCTTTCTTTACTACCAGGCAAAATGTTGAAGGTAATCACACTAAATAGAAAAAGAAATTGTGAGATGGCAGATATGTTACAAACAGCAAAGCAGAACAGGATTTCAAATAAATAACTTTGAGTTGATAACAAATTCTGGATGATGATGCTGGTGTCTGTTGTCATCTTAATGCTTTCATTTTCATTCCCTTGAGTGTCGATAGAAAACACTTCCCAACAACAGTTGTAACTGAGCTTCTTAAAGATGCTTTCAGCTTTGAAAATGAGTAATTACCTCAGCATGTACAAGTGTAAATGGACCCAGAGAATAATTGCATCTCCTCCTAGCTATGAAATGATATCATTGCCTGCTTTTATGGTTGCCTTAAAACCCCATTATCCTGGTGCTTCTATTATTACAAGTGTCCCATGGGGCTCTTATGGACTGCAGTGAACAGTTAACAGCAAAAATGATCCAACTGTCTGTAAACTTCTCTCAATCATATTGATTAACAAAGACATTACCAAACAGAGGAGCAGAAATGAAGAGGTAATAGCTTATCACATATGGAAGCTCAAACTAGAAGACATGCCTGAACATATATTAGTGCCTATTATCATCTTCCAAGTGGTTATTTTTAGTCAATCAATAGCCCAAATCCATTCCTAATGTAAGCTAATTGGTTTCAATACACTTCAGAAAGCTACTTACCTAGTCTCTCATTCAGTAATACACTTAAAAGCATGTTTGTGTGTTTTGTTGAAGTCAGGATTTAGGTGACATGTTAAATCTAACTCTTATATTGAATTTCAGAGATCTATAATTACCAAAATGATACCATTTATAAAAACGCTGTAATATAAAAGCTGTCCAAGTTTTTGGTTTTCTCCACAATACTAAACACACTTTTAGGTGTCAGCAAGTGTCAGAAAACCTTTAATTTCATTCTAAAATGTTTCTAATATAGCACTGAAGTGAGTATTTTAGAGCTTTTGCTCCACACTGTTATAAACCTTTCTAAATAGCGACCTAGAGCATTCACATTATATCCATACTTGGAATAGGACCTGACATGCCTCTATGTCACCATTTTACCCAGCTTGATAACTGGACTCTATGAAAGCCTCTCTGTACAGGTCACAGTCTATGCTGGGGAAGGAACTGGAGATTGGGAAGGCCAGAGAGAAGGGGACAAAGTTTCTTCAATCCCTGCAGTTAAGTCCTAAAATGTAATCCAGGCGTAAGGATTACTGCACTTTCTGAACTCAGGGCTCAGTCTACATGACACAATCCAGACCTTAAGATTTCTTGGATAACGGACGACGTGTAGTTATCCTTAAAGAGAGATGAAAAATTGTTGTCATCATTATGCACTAACACTGGGAGGAGGAGTGTAAGAAGAACAAATTATCACAATAAAAACAGAAGTTGAGAAAGCTAATTCTAATGTACCTAAAATGCTTGGGTAACATTTTCTGAAAATACACAGTAATTTAGAAGCCTTAGCATTATTTTCTAATAACTCTTAGGAACAACAATAACAATGTCTCACTGATTATCATTGACACTTAGACCCATAAATGCCTGCAACATATTTAAAAATAGGCATTCGATTTGGGAGTAGAAATGGTCAAAACATTTCTAAAAGTATATTTTAAAAGTAGAAATACTATAATTCCCTCGCATGTCATGCACACCCAAATAAGACACCCACCTTATTTTTGGGAAGGCAGAATGAAGAAAAAAAGTTTTTTCCAGAGTTATGGCTACATACAATACAGAGCCTAACCTTCAGCTCATTCACCCTTCCTTCCTGCTCAGGCAAAAGCAACAGTTTTTAGCTTATATTCTAAAAGCTAAATACTACTCTTTCACAGTTGAATTGTCAGCAACTCTTGGTTGCTCACCCACAAACTAAAACTGTAGCTGCTGCTGAAGATTAGACTTCAAGGACAGATCTAGGACTGTCAAAACAGTCTGCAGGGCTGTGAAATAGAAGAGAGACCAGAAGTAGCTAAATTGCAACTTTGTCCATAAAACTGCTGAAGAAAGGATACCATGATTAGTGGAACATTAAGACCATTAAAATGGAATACGGGTCATAAACAGGGATCCTGGTTTTCCTTGATGAAAAAAATCACGAATTCTCTGATAAAACCCCCCAAATCTGCAATTAAAATGAAACACCACTACATATATACATATCAACTGAACACAAGGTTTTATTGACATATTTACAATTTTAAATCAGTTGGAAGCCGACCAGTGCCTCAATCACTATAGTAAAATACATTTTAAGTAGCTATAAATTTTGGTATTTGATTTTGGGTTTTTTATGAGGAGTGTGATAAAGATTTTTTTGGCCGATACCAATGGCCAATTATTAGCCAGCCACATCAGCTGATACTGATCTGATCACCAATATGAAGGCTGGCAGCTTGTAGAACAGCATCTGGCTAGTAAGTCTGTGGGGAGGAAAGGGCATGGTGGGGAGCAGATCAAGAGCCCCATGGTGAGGCAGGGAGTGGAGTTGGGGCAGGTGCAGGCTCTGCCCGGCCAGGGCAGGGTGGGGTGTGGGACAGGGCTGTGGGTGGTTCATCTGAGATTGAGGGAGAGGGTGGGGAGGGGACTGCAGGGGGAGGTGGCTCCCACTGCTGCATGCACCCCCAGGGGAGGCATCGGGGGCTCATGCTCCCTGGATTTGTGTGCAGGGCAAGGGTGGGCTGCCTGCTGCAGCCTCAGGGTCAGGGGCTGTGTCAGCCTCTTCCTGGCAAAGGGACTGGGCTGGGGCTATGCTTGGGGCAGGCAGGGTGGGGCAGGCAGCAGCAGCACTGGGAGGGGGTGGTTATTGGGGGGGCTACAGCCACCTCAAAATTTGCCATAGCCCCCCTTCCAGCACTGCCACAACCTGCCTTGCCTCCATCCACCCCAAGTGCAGCCCTGGTCCCTCCCCCCCATGCTGGGAAGAGGCTGGAGTAGCCCCTGACCCCTAGCCCCACGCACAAATCTGGAGTGCGCATGCCCCCCATACATCCTCTGTGGATGCGCACAGCAGTGGGGACCAGCCCTCCTCCCCCTGGATGAGCTGCCCACTGCTTCATTCCACTCCTCACCCCAGCTGGGAATGCCCACCCCTGCTCCAGCCCCACTCCCTCCCTCACCATGGGGGCCTTAATCTACGCCCCTATGCCCCTCCTTTCCTCCACGCCCCTTCCCCCTCACAGACTTACCAGCTGGATGCTGCCCACCAAGCTGCTAGGCTGCATTCCTGGCCACATGAATGCTGCAGCTGTGTGCATGTATGTGGCATTTATCGTTAACATTATTGGCCACATAGGCCAAAAAAAGTCAACTGCTGAGTATGTCAGTTTTCCTTTTATTAGTGCTGATATGATATGGATTGGTATCAGTGCACTTCTACTTTTTATCACGGAAAATCAAACTCCCCCTGCCCCCTTAGCTCACCAGGAAACAAGTCCAGGCCCCTCACTTCCATACTATACCCACCCAGCCCTACCAGTGCCCCTCACTCCCCTCCCACAGTCCCCTACCCCTCCAGCTCTGCTAGAGGGGGCCCCACCTGTCAGGGTTATGGGGCCAGGGACCTGGGTCTGCCCCAACAGCAGCACCCAAGTCCCAGGGAGGTGGTGGCTGCTGTGGCCCAAGCAGGGAGTCAGACACCCATCTACTATATGGACATCAACCAGCACACCATTCTCTCTCATTGAAAAACAGGTTTTTTTGTCCTCTACCATACCATTGACCAAAATTTCCGGAATCAGCCAGAACTACCTTCTGGCAAAAAGAATGGGAGAAACTAGGTTCCACTGTTGAATGGAGCTGGTGAGCAATTACCCGAATGGGGAGTTAGTATCTGGCTCCAGTTACAAATGGCACACATGGCAGAGCCTGAGCAGATTGAGAGTGGGTTTTGGCAGATACAACTTTCTCATGAAATCATGGGGCTTCTAAACAACTGACCAACAAGGTTGGCAGGAAAAGCAAACCACGGTTCCACTCCTGAGATGTTGCCAATGCACCCCACAAGTTTTGGAAACACCAACACCAGAAGCAGTGGCTTGTGTAGAATACTAGGGGCAGACCATATAAAAAGGGTGGACTGGGGACATGTCAAAGATAAAAAAAAATTCTGAAGAAACTTATCATTTTGTAATCTCCTGTGGAATAGGTATTCTGGTTTCTGGCTAGCTCTACTCCCAAGTCATTTGTAAGGTTTTGAAAATGCTGGACTCAGCCAATGTAGCTCCAGGAAAAACTAGCCCTTCTTTGGGATCAGTCATGCTGCTACATAACTAAGAGCTCCCTCCTCCTCCATACTTCCAGAATCCATCAAGGAATTGAGGGCACCTCATTCCTTTTTTCAATTCCCTCCTCATGTGTGGAAACAACTGAATAACATGATTCTGGGGGTTTTAGAACCTCTCCTCTCCAGCTGAGCCCAGCAAACACTAAATGGAAGTAAACTTGCCTTCTAACTGCTATTCTTACCTGGGTTTTGTTTCTCTCTCATCACAATCTCTGTTATTTTTAGTTCTGGTTAGTTCAGTACTACTGCAATACAGCTGTTGTGCAACATGCTGAGGTTGTAACAATGAAAACGGTGCAATGCCCTACAAATAGCTAACTGGCCAGCTTTCTTGACACACACTAAAGTACACACTGAACTTTTTGAGAGCTTCTTTGGATCCAAACTCTAAACTCCATCTACCTTCTGCAAACATTGCTCTCTGGATTCTGTAGTTTAGTCTCCCTGCCCTGACCCAGGCAGCTTGTTTTAATGACATTTGGAAAAATCCTTTGCAAGTTTGTGTTCTATCTGGGCTATTATCTGGAGCTACAAAACACACTTTCCATACATACAACAAGAAAGAACTCTATTAAAACAGTAGTTTCCCTACCACAGGCAAAAAGCTGTTAATGGGTTGGTTAGATTTGCAATCAATTATTATTCAACCCTAAAAGTATTAGAAAGCTACAAGTGAAGTTGATCAAATAATGTATAGCTGAGAGATGCAGATAAGAAGATATAACAAACTTGAGCTTAAAAAGGGCATGGGCATTTATACTTAAAAGCACAGGAGAGTTGTATCTGTACTATGATATTTAAAACTAATTAACTAGTAGAAGTTAAAAATCAGTACATTTTATTGTAATTATTTATTGACAATATAAACATACCTGTAAATAAAATGTTCCCTTAGGTTGAGCATACAGCATTAAAAAGCTATAATCCAAATTCTGTTTAGTTCTCCACCTAAATATAAGCAGCAAATTCTGATAAGGTTTCTCTGGGTTTTATGGAGTTGTTATTAATACAGCCATTACAACACTCTAGGTATGATTCAGGTACTACTGCCACTCATTGTTAACTAAATCAGAGGAAAGATGGTAAAATACAATTTGCTGATCTAAATAAACTATTTTAAAATTTCCTCTAAACTCAACATATTGCAAATACTGTTTTTTTTCAAGAGGTGTTTGAATTTATTTCTCAAAAAAAATCCATAAACAAATAACCCTTGATCAACGAACCAATTTATCTAGGTCAGATGAGCTAAAGAAGTCCTCTCGTTTTATTCTGACCAGCAAAATTTGGTGTGATTACAATCTCTAAGTGCTTCAACATGCAGTAAAACAGAGTGCCAATATTAGTCAACAACACAAACACAGGTTAATAAACTTCATTATGGAGTTAGTGGTACAATTTAAAGTTTTCTCTGAACAGTAGGCAATACCTTTTTTGCCAATAAATTTGAGGTTTATTAAATCAGTGACCAGACTTTAGAGTAAGAGATATTTTTTTTAAATTACTTGTCGAACAAATTTCCGAAGTTAATAGATATGGTACATCTGATAGGGTTAAAACTTAATTTAACGTATCAAATTACATGTACCTGATATTTCTAAGCTAGAAGTAAATGCACTTTTACTATCTGAAAATAGGTGTATATATTAATTTTTCAATGCTGTATAATGTTGCTTACTGACAGCAACTTTTTAATACTTGATACCAAATCCTGCCTCCTTTTAATGAATTTGGAGCAAGTGAACCATGTATATTGCCAGGAATGAACAGCTATTAGTTAAGTATACTGGTTAAGTAATTAGTTATAATATCAAAGCAACAATGTAAGTTAGATGTTAATTAAGCCCACTCAAACTGTCATTAGTTAGTTAAGGGTCAACTAAGGTGATAGGTACAGAATTACAGAGTGCAATCATTATCTGTCAGATAACAATGGGGACAATGTGAAAAAGTTTTTTTTTTTGGTATTATCTATTCAATTCTAAACCTGTATGATTTCCAGGTGTAGAAGTATTTGAGTAGTAGAGAAACTGGAGAAAGTCTAGCTTTTATTTGAAGCTGTTGGGCACTGCTATCCACTGAAATAATAATGGTTTCAAGGAACTTGAAGGCCGTTTTTTCTCTGAAAAAATCACACCTTATCAGTTTATTAACAATTGCAAAAGTCCTCAGTCTTTACTTTTGGAAAAATGTTCTTAGAAGTTTTTCACACAGCTTATCTTACCTCACTCTTTCCTTTGAGTCCCCAAATGTTTCCTTAAGAGTGGAGAGGTCAGGGTAATAGGAAGCAGGAGGGGAAATAACCTCAAGGACTCCAGATTGCACTTCATTAGGGAATCTGTGAAGAAAAGATTAATATCTAAGGCCTTAATACTGGCATAGCAATCTGTAGACACAGAACCTATCCCCAGGCAGTCAAGTCCATGACTATGTTGACATAAAGGTGTGCTTTTAAAATCACATTAGCTCAAAAACTTAGTTTAGCTCAACTGAAAACCATACTAGAGCTCAATATGAACTTGAACATTTTACTAGTATAACCATTTTAGTTAGAGATGGGATTTTTTTATTAAAATAGATACAGCAGTAAACAGATCAAACTGATTTGAGTATGATGCTGGAAGAAAGATGGACTGCTGCTGCATAACAGCAACAATGGAAGATTGCTATAGTGATATTTCTACAAGACATACAAAAACACGGATTTTTTGGAGATACTTTTTATTTGACCAACTGAATAGTTGGGAGAGAAGTTAGACAAATTTTCAGAAACAAATGCCCTTTTCAGGTTCTTTGCTCCGGAAAGTTTGTCTAACATCTCTCCCAGCTATACAGTTTGTCAAATGAAACATCACCAAAGAGCCTTGCTTCTTGTCTATTTCCTGGACCATCACAGCTATAACACACCAATTCTATTATGACATATATAATAAATCAATTCGTAAACAAGTTTGTTTATTATGTGGCATTATTTTTCCAATAAAAGATATTACTCATTGTATAATCATAGGTTCAACTTCTTGGCTTCACATTTTTTCTTCAATGACTACTACAAATTTCATACCAATACTTAAAAAGACAGTATTAATAATGCAATATTATTCATAATGCAACTAGTCCATGCATCTGCAGTCTATGCACCACATTAGCAGACAACTAATGCGCTAGTCGCTTTCAAGCACAAACCTTGTTTTTTAAGTGTGTATAGTATTGCCAATGTCTACTAAGAAACAGAATAAGAGCAAGCAAAGAATATGGTGGTATACGAGCCTTAATGGAATTTCATGATGGTGGGCAATTAATGCACTTAAATTTTCTTTGCAGAAAGCAGAAACATGTGAATGTGTGCTTGCTGGGAGCAAATTTGCTCCCAACGGGAGAAGTTCACTCCAGAGCTTCTCCTACAGTGCTCTGTCCCCCTGCAGCAGCAGCCAGGGGGAGCTCCAGGCTCCCCTGGGTGCCAGCTTGGGGCTGGCAGGGGACACTGGGGCTGGTCCCTATCTCCAGGGGGTCGGGGAGAGCTGTCCAAACAGTCAGGACTGCTGCATCCCAGCTACATGGAGGTCAGGTCCTGACCCAATCTCCACATGGCTGGGACATAACAGTCCCATTTGCCGGGACAGCTCTCCTAGCCACATGGGGATCGGGATGATGTCCCCTGCTGCCTGGGCTGACTGGAAGCAATTTGCTCCTGGTCAGAATCTACACGTACACTACATTAATCTAGTGCATTAGCCTAATTTACTGTGCAGTAAGTCCCATGCATGTGTAGATGTTGATGCTTTACTGTGCATTAGATTAGCCTAATGTGCAGTTAAGGGTTTTGTGTAAAGACACCCAGTTATACTTTAATTCAGCCATTCACACAGTCCATATCATTTACTAGCAGCACAGAGAACTAAATTACTGCACTGAAATGAAATAATTTGCTTTTCAGAAATCAGTCCCACAACCCCTAAAGGTAAAACAGTTATCTAAGTGTTTTTTGCATGCTAATTTGGGTAACATAACAAATATCAACACCAACAGCCGCAGATTTTAAGGCACTGAGGTAAGTGGGTATGCATACTCAGGTACTTGGATTCTAACATTAATTCCTGGGAAAGAAATCTCAAGCTAAGGAGAATCAGTAGATATTTTTCAGTGACTAAAATTGCAAAATAGAATTGCTGCGTTAAAATGTGTTTACGAGAAGTAGTGTTAGAGTGATGTGGTAGCTGTGATGATCCAGAAATTATGTAAGGGGCTAGGATTTCTTAGGGTGATATCTTTTATTGGACCAACAGCATAGTTGGGATAGAGTTAGACAACTTTTTGAATGCAAAACCTGCTGAAGAATGTCTTGTATTTGAAAGCTCGTCTAACCCTATCCCAAATATACAATTGGTTCATTAAATAGATCACTCTAATAAAACCTTTACAAGAAAATAATAGGGAAGGAAACACATAGTCACTCCCCTTCCCTAGAACTTATATAATGTTGTACACACTAATATATTCAAATGCATTATTATGTTTAATTTTATTTCCACAATTGAGTAATAGCATTATTTCAGCAACTTTTACTTTTGTTGTTTACTGCTGAAATACTGCAACTTTTTAATCTAAAAATTTAAATTCAAGAAGCCATTCAAGGTTACATGATATGTAACTTACCTGGTTCTAACATCTTGTGCAATACTGTTAACATACTCTGCATTCACCTAAAAAAAAGTTCACATTTCATTTGACTTGATTTTAATATTTGTATTAAATAACAACCTGATTTAGGTAGTCACACACAGACGTACACGTAATTTTTAAAAAAATCCAGACAAGAATAAATAGAACAATGTTTTTTCACTAAGGCGTCCTCTACATGTGCAGGAAAGTGTGATGGGATCTAATGCACGATTCATGCTATCTTGTCTCCTGCCATACCAAATATGCAGAGCAGGAGGTGCGACTGTGGGATTATGCGATGGATCCCATCACACCTTACTGCTGGTGCAGGAGGAGCCCAATCTTGAGTTCCCCTTGCACTAGTAAGAAGCAAGCACACCTTGGTTGATGGGGGCTCCCAGCCATGGGGGCACCCCACATACCCCCAGGGCTGGAGGATCTCCACTGCGGTGATTTCCCTGCCTTGGGGTGCATGGAAGCCAGAGGATCATCATAGGGATGATCCCCCTGCCCTAGGGGTACAGGGAAACCCCCAGGGTCAGAAGATCACTGCTGGGCAATCCCTCAGCCTGGGGGTATGGGACACACCCAGTGCCAAAGGATCACTGTGATCCTCCTCTGAAGCTGGGGGTTTCTTGCATACCCACGGCGGCAGGGCAGTGAATTGCCCTAGGGCAATCCTCTGGCCCTGGGGGTTTCCCTGCACCCTTGGGGTGGGGAGGGAGATAACCCCTGTGGAGATCTTCTGGCCGTAGGGGTTTCCCTGCAGCCAGGAGCCCTAAGGAACTTGGCAGCTACAATCTCCAGGATCTGGGGGGTTTCACACCCCACTCAGTCCTAGGGATACAGCAACTGTGATCCACAGCATCCAGGGGGTTGCATAAAACTCCCAGACCCTGGAAATTGCAGTTGCTGTGGTCCCTAAGGCTTGAGGGTTTTAGGCTGGGCATGGTGCACACCTGCAGCATGATGCACCCCTGTGGCTGGCAGCTAATGGGGCTCCCAGCCACAGAGGAAATCCTGTTACACGTGCGAATTAAAGCTTGACAGCAACCAGCTATAAATGTATAAAGCTATAAAGTACATATTTTCAAGGTCTAACTTTATAGCTGGTTGGAGCTTTTTACTGGTGTGCTAGCTACTTTGCACATGTAGCTGGTCTCCAGATAATTGTGCAATTAACCAGGTAATTGTTCAATACCTGTAATGTGTAGAGGGGGCCAAATAGACATTATTTTAATGATATTTGAATATATAAATCACAGATGCTTTATTTACATTTATACTGGTCTTTAGTCTATGTTTCAGACTTTTGGACTCTCCATTTTGGCAAGCAAGCATTGATCTGGGCCAATCTGTCTACAGCCTCTAATTACAGCCAAGGTAAATATATTCTATTCCAGTTCTCAATAGAGATTTAAAAAAAGCCTAACTCAGGCCTGTTGTTGGTAAGAAAATACAAGTAAAGCATCCTTGCCCTGGGCTAACAATATCCAAAGCTCTTAACAGGCATTTTCTCCTAATACAAAATGATGGCATTTAGTTTGTAAATTAAAATGGCAGATTTTTTTTTCCATTGCTGCAGCATCAAAATTAAGTCTTAATATGGAAAACATTGGGTTTTAACAAGCTTTAAGTTAGATTCTAAAGATCTATGAAAATATGGAGATCCTTCGAGCAGTTTGGAGTTCATTATTTAAAAACAAAACTGTAACTTAGCTTAATTAAATATATACTAAAACAGCAATAAATAAAGAAAATATAACTATGTTAAGGTCAACAAAGAGAGAGAGCTACACTGGCAACTTTAATAACAGTTTTAATCTTGATAAAGTAAATTACAATCTAAGTATTATTTATAGTCTGAACAGCTACAATCTTAATTGAACTAAAAGGCTAAATGCTATTTTGCCACATAATAAGTCATCCAGTGAGGAAGCAGTTGTTAAAAGGAAGCATAAGAAGAGCTAGATAGTGTGCTTAAACAGTCTCCCAACCAGCAGTATCAGTCCACAAGTAGCTGCTGCTAGATTATACACTTCTGTTGGGGAAGCTTACTGGCCCTAAGTATTTTGCAATAAAACCAAAACATTCAGGGAGAGGAAAACTATTTTTAATCTTAAAATCATAATTTATGCAGTGTCATTTTTCAAACAGAAGATGTTTATGTACAAGAAGTGTATATTATTTTTCTCAGGAAAAAATGCTATTTAATAAGCAGGTGTCAGGCCCCTTGTAAAATACCAGTAAGCACAAAGTAGGGCATAAGCCCAAAGGACAGATAAAGGGCCCGTATTTCTTTCAGATTTGGTAATAAGTCTGCATTTTTCAGGTTCCATGGAACTTTAGTACTCTCCCTTTAATTCTACTACTAAAATACCTTGTGCTAACAGACAAAATGGAGTATATGCTTTTCTTTAAGTGCAAGCACAGCTAGAGGTTTTGAGAGTACCACGTGACAGTTTTTTCCCCCTGTAGCATCCTTTTATTAGTTGTTTTCTACATGAGAAGACCAAGGTCCTGACCACTAACAAGTCTAGATTAGCATGTAATTTGGAAATATTACAATTGCCAACATCATTGCAAAGAAATATAGTATAACTTCATAATGAACCTCCGTTATGACTATGAGAACAGCTAATTAAAAGAGAGCGTTTGCTACAATAGCTGTGTAATAATGAAAAAAAAAAATCAGTCATTGCTGTTGGACTTGCTAAAAGTGGGCATTTGTCATAAACAGCATTTGTTATACTCTAAGGTTGTATTATATCACTCTCTAGAAATGAATTTAATAGGATTCTCTACAAAATCTAACTCCTGATCACTTAACTAGTTCTTAACTAGAAAAAAGGAACATTTTCCCACATTTGACTTGCATAAAAAATTCCTTTTAAAATCTGTGGTTACTAGTATATTGAAATATCTCCTACACAACTATAGTCAAACATGGATTTCCACATTATCTTGTTATTACTATAAGCACTTTTTCCACACTAACTCACCTCTGCTACAAAGATAATCACTACACAATCATTTTTCTGCTCTTCAGATACATCAAAGAAAAGAGAATTCAGCGTGTCGATAAGATAACTTTGTTTTTCTCTTTTCACAGTAGGAATACCCATCACTAGGGAGACTGCAAACACAGAAGTTAAAATCATGTCATCTCAAGTCATATACATACAGCAGTAGTCCTTGACTTTTGATGGTCCATGGGAAGCAGTACTGGTCAAGTAACACACTGGGGGGGTGGGAATTACACTTTACTGTCCCTGTCAACCTCTGATTTAATTATTTAAATTCTTGTGGCAGTGATAAATGTCAGAAGCTCTTGGGGGCAACCTGTTTTCCCCAACCCATGGATTGGGGTCCGCTAAAATAGGAGCTTTAGTAACATTTTGATTTTGAGTTCCCAATGAGTAAGTGAACACACAAAATAAGAGCTATTATACTAGAAAAGAATAATCAAAAATAGAAATTCACTGCCTGATATAATTAACTGACACAGTTAATGTTTCTATAGAGGTTTGATAGGCTTTTTGTGCTATATGGTATATTGTGCATGACGAGCAGAAATTTTGTTGCAGATATTTTCATTTTTATATTAAATGCTGGGTCTACATTGCATTTGTAAGCAGTTTTGACTATTTAGAAACACTTGTACCTCTGGCAAACTTATGGTTGGCTGCACCTGATATCTGAAGACACAGTAATTCTGAGAGAGGACCATTAGTTCTCGGTATAGATTTGGTAAGATGTAAATAATGAGATATTAAATTGCCACTAATCTAGAGGGCAAGTGACTTTCTCACAGGAAGTGCTGAGCAAATTACTTACTCAGTACTGTATCTCTCAGTATGGGAGACATTAATATTTCAGAAACTGAATTAGTAACTGCCAAAGATTACAAACGTAGAAACAATTTTAAGCAGTGGCCCTCCCTCAGATTTTAGTGGGGAGTTCTGCCTTGAAATCATTGACAAGATATCGCTCAGTGTAATCAACACTATGTTTTTTTTACAATGGTTGTATGGTAATAGTACAGAAATCTCACACTGTGTAGGCCAAACTTAAAAAATTATAAAATGGGCATGTCCCTTTTATTTTCTACTCTCTCCCCTCCCACCTTCACCCCACCAAAAAAAAGAAGAAGCCTGGGATGGCCTATAATAAAAACAAGATAAGTAATAGAAACAGATAACATATTAAAACAGTAAATGATACAACAATTCCCGAAACAATACCTCAGTGTTTAAGGTGAAAAAGCAAGCCCCAAAAGCAAGCCTTTAATTCTTACCTCCGGTTCTCCCTTGACCAATGACAACATTGGGGTGCAGGCTATCTTCATGCTCCTGGAGGTGAGGTAAGTAGTAGTACATGTTTGCAAGATGCACGAAGGGTTTACTGGTGAGATTGAATACATTCCACCTTGTATCATCTTTAAAAAAAAGACACATACAAAAGGCCAGCACAAGAGGATTACGATCAGTACTCAAATATTTTCCTCAAATAAAAGCGTAGCATATTACAACACACACAATTTAAACCTGAGTCATATTATTAGAGAGTACTGTAGGTCAAATAAAAATTCTTCTTCGTGGGAATTAATGATTAGCTTTTCTGTTCACTGTAGAAGGTATATGCCAGATCTTTCAAACATCATATAAGCTTCCCAAGTGTCTCCAGCAGACTTCAGCAATAAGCTCACATGAATTTATTATCATGGTACAGTTACACCTAGGGACCTTGATCAGATTGGGGCCCTACTGTGCTACAGATTCTACCAACACATGCTGAGACAGCCCTGCCTTATCAGGTTTCCAATGTAATGTCCCAGTCTTGCAAATGCTTGCACACAGACATACACAGAACTTATTCCCATTGATAATAGTGAATGATGCCTCAGCATATAAAACTTTAAGCTCTTCAGGCAAAAACTTTTTCTGACCACAAACCTGTATGATTTCCTGTAGAGTTTTCTCTCTTTGCAACAACACGTTTAATTTCATCCAGGGCACTGCTCAGCTCTTGAGATCTCTTTTTATTTTCTTTTTCAGCATACAAGAGTCTTTGACGAAGTTCCAAAAACTCAGTTTGGTACTTGTCTAGACCATCTCCTGTAACAAGTGCAAATTATTTCTTCAGAAATTAACTATATATGGGGGCAAACAGGAGTTCAAGAATAAAGGGCATTAGGGAAGAATACATGAAGAAAACAGTAAGCACAGGAAATAAAACATGTAACTCAAGGTTTACTGCAAATTCAAGGTTTGTCTGTATATTTATGGTTTTTCAGCTTTTTGTACATTTATGGTTCAAGTAAATTACACCATAACCCTAATAAAGCAGATGAAGGCACCAAGTAAATTACTACTTGATTCAAATTTTATAAACTACTTCCCTGACAAGAAAAATAACACAACACACCATAAGTTTCCTTGCTGATTGGTGAAAAGGAGAAAAACTCCACTGTGTTTCCCTAATGCATATGACTTACCTTAAGCAGAAAAACACTCAGGGCCAGATGTAGAAATGGAATTAGGTGTGGTGATGCTAAGGAGGGGATGGTTTGGAATAGGACTCATAAAATCTAGCTTGCTAAATGGGGAACTGCCTGAGCTAGGCCACAGGAAATGCCAAAGAAAGTATTTCAGAAATCTTGCTTTTCTCCAGACTTAAAAGCCTACCTTCAGCTTCAATTTAGGTGCCATTCTGAAATGGATTCACAGCCCAAAACACCTTCCTAAGTTTAGGCACCTAAGTCATCCCTTGGTGTTCTGATAACTGGATCACTCTTCTTTTAAAGGAGAAGGAGGTGGTGGTGCCTAGTAATAGCCTAGTATCTACAGCACTTCTCCAGGAACTGGGAAACCAGGTTTAAATGTCCTCACAGCCTGAGGGGTTTCAAACACACAACTCCTACCTTCTAGGTGAGCACCCTAACCACCAGGTTATGGGCAAGGCTCCAGAAATTCTCCATCCCTTCTGTTGAAGCTCTACAAGCTCTGCCCTCTACAAAGTGGAAGACACCTGGGGCCCAAAGAAGAGAGTAAAAAAGTAATCCCTAGGAGAATGGTGTTTATCTGAGCTGGAGAGACCTGGTCTCCACGCCTTGTTCCCAATGCTGTTTATGTATTTTATTCAATGCCTGTTGAATGCAAAACGGATAAGAAGTTCTGAGAAAGGTCTTCTCCAGGAAGTGATTTAATCAGACTCCCTCTTGGACACTCACTTACTGGCCCCTGTATGTTGTGTTGCTTGCTAAACAGTTGCCCAGCTTGAGTGACTGAGTGCCCATACCTCAATCTAACCTATAACTTGGGCCATGTACAGATATCCACAAGTGTACACAAGTGTGCACAAAGTTTCTCTCCAAGAGAAAAAATGGGTTCTCCAGGAGAAAAGTAACCTGGGAACAACCAGGGTTAAATTGCTTTAGAAGAGTATTTCCAGGGCTGCAGATGTCTGTGCATGTTCCCTTCTAAAAGAAGGCAAAGCACAGGCCTCCAGCATCTCAGGCTGCTTTCCTCCCATCTGTCTCCCTGGGAGACAGTGTGTTGCTTGCTGGACTCTACTGCTTCAGCTGAGCAGAGAACGTAAATAACGCATTAAAGGCCTTGGCACAGAAGTGCCTCCATCTTGCATACATCCTCAATTTGCTAAAGACTGGAACAAACTATGGGTAACCTTGTGTAGAGACAGGATTGCAAGGCCAGATTCCACATTTTTGCTGAAGCAAACAGGAAAGCACTGACTTAAGGGAGGTCCTTGAAGACTGAAAGAGGACCAATGTTGTGCCTATCTTCAAGAAGTGGAGGAGAGGGGACCCTGGCAACCAATTAGCCTAACTTCTATCCCAGGGAAAATCCTGGAAAAATTCATCAAGGAGTCTATGTGCAATACACTTGCAGAAGGTAGGATTCTGAATGAGGACCATCATGACTTTGTCATGGGCAGGTCTTGTCTTACCAATCTCATCTCCTTCTATAACGAGGTAGCTCTTCACATGGATGAGAGAGTGGAGGTCGACATTGTATACCTAGACTTCTAAAAGGTGTTTGATCTGGAAACCCATGATGTTCTCATGGGAAAATTGGAGGATTGCAGGCTTAACTGCTTGACAGGTGAGTAGGAAGCTGGCTGCAGGGTAGGACCCAGAGAGTTCTAATGAACGGATCCATGTCATCCTGGTGAGAAGTGACCAGTGGTGACCCTCAGGGGTCCGTGCTTGGTCCAGTACATTTCAACATCTTTATCAATTATTTGGATATGGAGGTGAAGAGCTCACTGGCCAAGTTTCTGGATGACACCAAGTTATGGGGAATCGTGGTCATGCTTGAAAAAAGGCTGCACATACAGGTGGACCTAGACAGGCTGGCAAGTTGGGCGGACCAGACCAGATGAAGTTCAACAACTGAGAAGTGTAAAGTGCTCCATCTGGAGACAAACAATCCCCAACATACTTACAGGCTCGGTGGCACCATATTGATTAGCACCATGACTGAAAGGGACCTAGGGGTAATAATAGAACATAGTGTGAACATGAGCTGTCAGTGAGATGCTGTAGCCAGCAGGGCAAACACTACTCCGGCATGCATCAACTGATGCATCTCAAGCAAAACCAAGGAAGTGATTCTTCAGCTTGACTCAGCTTTGGTGAGACCACAGCTGGAGTACTGCATCCAGTTCTGGGTGCCGCACTTAAACAAGGATGTGGAAAAGCTTGAGAAAGTCCAGAGAAGAGCCACCCGTATGATCAGCGACTTGCAAGGCAAGCCATACAAGGAAAGGCTGAGGAACCTGGGTCTCTTCAGCCTAAAAAGAAGAAGGCTGAAAGGGGACTTGGTAGCAGCTTACCGCTACATTGGAGAATACATCAAGGGTTCAGCGAACAACTGTTCAGCAGGGCACCCTGGAGGAAAAACAGAAGTAACGGCCACAAACTCCTGGAAGACCATTTCAGGCTTAATACTAGGAAAAACTTCTTCATAGCTAGGGTGTCCAGACTGTGGAATAAACTCCCTCCAGAGGTGGTGCAATTACTTACCCTGGAAATCTTCAAGAGGAGACTGGACGGTCACTTCGCTGGGGTCACCTGACCCCAGTTGTCTTTCCTGCCTAGTGCAGGGGGACTGGACCTGACGATCCTGCAAGGTCCCTTCCAGCCCTTTACAATTCATGAATCTATAAGTGTTTGACCACAGTAACACAAAGTAATTGAAACACATTACCATAAGGAACAGCACTAATTTCAAGAGGCAAAACCTAACTGATAACCTCTGAACGGCCATCCTAGTTAAACAGTTAAGTGTTTATCACAAATCCTTCACTGGCTGTGCAGCATCAGCACTGCAAATTCTACTCCTCAGGAGCTCAGCATTCAAATATCTGTTCAGGTGTCTCTGAGTAAGTTTTTCTACCAGGAAAACAAAACCAGGAGAATTCTCCCAGATCATTTGAAAGTGTGTATGCAGTTTTGGTGGCCATCACACTCTCCTGAGAAGTGGGAGATGTAGCTTTGAAGCCCTTCAGACCGAGGTGTACATAGAGCTTACCTGATTAAGTACTGTAGCCACTAGGCTACTGTGTAAGAAATAGGCTCTACCAGATCCTTCTCCTCTGGCTAGGTTTTGAATGAAGGTTGCCACAATATTGGAAAGTGACTGCTCCTAGTGTGCATTAGTCATACTCTGAGCAAATCTGATTAATTAAGGAGAGTTAAGATATAGGAGCACCCAGTGTGAAAAACCCAAACTAATACATAACAGACACAAAGGCATTAAGTTCCATCAAGATGTCAGCTGTTCTGGGCATACACAGTAGCAGAACCTCAGGTGCTTATGGAACTTTACTGGCTAAAGCTTAGGCACCTACAAACTTTCAAGCAGCTATGTAGTTAGTCAGAGGCTCTGTGGATCACACTCCTGAACTTTAGCACCTATATTCTGCTGGTGTACATTTCTAGATTTAGGACTAAAATTTTAAAGGGTATCAGTGCAACTTTGATCATTGTAAGCATAAAACTTGAGGTCCAAGAATGGGAATAGTTTATCCTTCTAGGAAAATAAAATTCATTTGTTTAACAAATTCCAGATTTGTATATTTAAGGTTTGGCAGAGTTTCATTTGCCTGAATTTCACACCAATTCTCTGCTAGGAAAAAAATAATTAATTTCAAAGGATCTACTCAGACTCTTGCCCATTACACCTATATAATATACTCTAGGCTAGATTTCTGGTTGTGCCCCAAAGATGGCCCATATGCTGAGAAGAGTGGATGCAGTAGATAATTCCATTGCATTCGGTAGTCTTCTATTTTCCAGACCCACTGGTTCATAGGCAGCTTTGACAAGAGATTATCTCAAAACTGCCCTAACAAACAGAGGAGACACAGTGTTGGTATAGTTATAATGGTCCAGGACATCTGAGAGACAAGGGTTTTTTGTGATATCTTTTATTGGACCAACTTTCAGGCATAAAGGGCATCTATACATAAGCAGTGAGGCCGCTCTGACACACTGTAATTATGGTGCGTTGGAGCAGACTCAATTAATTAATCAAGTCTGTGCTGGAAAGTGGTAATTACTAGGGGTGTATGAAATGGGCCATATTTGATTCAGATTTGGCCCAAATCGGGGGACAGTGATTCGATTCATCTGAATCCAAATCTGAAGATTCAATGCTGATCCACAGAATTAGCAATTCAGCCGCAGACACAGTTTTAAATGTTTTTTCTACATACCTTGAGGTACCAGGGGTGGCTCGTGAACGCTGCAATGGTGGGGCGGATTGAGCTTCCCACAGGAGCACAGGGGGAGCCCCCCATGTGCTTAGCGGTGGACCCAGAAGTGCACCGGACACCTCCTTCCCCTCCCCGTGTCTGCTTGGCTTGGTGATCAGCCATGGGGAGACCCTGGGTACCCCGCCAGATCCAGGAGGCACCAGCCACCGAGCTGGAGGGTTGGGGGGGAGGGTTCCCTGTGCACTCCGTGGTGGACCCGGAAGTGGACCAGAAGTGCTTCTGGTCCACTTTCAGGTCTGCCACTGAGTGTGCTGGGGATCCCCCCACGCTCCTGTGGGATGCTCCATCCACTCCACCATTGCAGCGTTCACAAGCC